GTAAAGCAGCAAGCACTCACCCAATTGAATCTAGTAGGAGGTTTATACTAAGATAGCCTAGTATCTACTACAACTTTCAGTTTTGATTTTAGGAGTTTTGTTACTCAACGTGATATAGACGATGTTGAGAATCATCTTTATTTGATGAGTAAATCTTTTAACATACAAACACTGTATGCATTAAATGTTTTTTACTTTTAGTTATTTATTATTGATGTTGTTAGATGTCATGGGCATGGTGATTCAAAATCAGCCTGTACAATACAAGCAAGTAGCTTGGGCTCAACATAATTCATAGTATCACTTACAATGTTGGGTTTAGAGTATGCTACTCCTTGCATTTAATTGATTCTTTCATCGATTTTAAATTAACTACTAGCATATTTACTAACTAATTGATATGTGTTGTGCTTAATAAAATATGATGAATTGTACTGTCTAGGGGAAGGAATATGTAGTCCAAAATCCAAATTTTTACTTTTGAAAGTCATTCAAGTAAACTGGTGTCTCATGGGTGTTAGTTATGCAATTGTGTCGGGTTAGCTCTTGGGCATGTTACACAAAAAGGGTTTGAATATTTTAGTTTGGGGACGACAAATTGTTCACGAAATCAAACTAATAACATTAAGTACAATAAAGTTTTCAATAATACATGACTTTTTTTTTATGTCAAACAATTTATAATTGGACAATTGATCTATGTATGATAACTCCTTTATCGTCAAATAAATTTACAGAATTTCTTAAATAAATGTAACCCGTGTATCGCACAAGTTGCGTAATTGTATATGTAAAATAAAGTAGTACTTGCTAAAAAAAAGCTAGAAAAAAAATCACCAACATTAGATGCATGCTAATTTTGGAAGTTAGCGAACACATCTGAAATAACAAAAAATTCATAAAGACATTAATTGCATATAAATCAATAGCCAAATTCACGGGTTTTCAAACTTATCGCCAAACACGTTATTTGTTTCTTTTCTTATGTAAATCAATCGCAATATTTAAAAATAAACCTATTGAAGTCAAGTTTCATGGTATATTTTTGTGATTGTAAATTAATCATATTTTTAAAAATAAATATGCCAATGCTTCATTCAAATTGAAAAATGTAAAGATAGTCCAAATTTTTGGAAATAATTCATTGCGTGCATCTGTTTTCACTTTTCAACCTAGATTTTTCGTGATTCTATAATTACATAACTGACGTATTATATATATTTCTCCTCTTTACATTTAATCTAGATTTGTACGTCTCAGGTATCAGAACCACGTGGTGTAGTGTTTATTGAATTTTGCTTCTTGATCTAAGAATTTGAATCTGGATAAATATTTATTCTTGTGGGTGTTCTTGCTTGAAAATGTCCGGTTTTAAGTCGTCGAGTGTAAGGCGGTAAATCATAATTGTTTAGGATTTTAGCAAGAATACAAGTTTTGAAAAATAAGAGATTTTAGAAATGAAATCATTTTTCTACATGAGTATCTCTGTTAGGACCAACAATTTAAGTCCAATTCTCCATCAAGCCCAACATACAAGTCCAAATGGGGTTATATTCTAAACCAATTGAAAATAGAAGGAATAGTCCACCAAGCTTATATATTGGGACTTGGAACCTTTAATTTTTCGATGTGGAATTGGGTTTGCACACCTTACAAACCTCCCCTCAAACACAGACCACATACTTGGACCTCCCCTTGAATGAAATTCATACGAACCGACCATCATGTACAACCGTTAGCACCCGCAGAACATGCCGCTTGACCACTCTTTCGCCAGGAAGACTTTCGACACAAGGCACACGGATCCACCGACCCTCCATCGGCTCCACGGGGAACATGCCACGTCATCTACATCCGTTAGCACCCGCAGAACATGCCGCTTGACCACTCTTTCGCCAGGAAGACTTTCGACACAAGGCACACGGATCCACCGACCCTCCATCGGCTCCACGGGGAACATGCCACGTCATCTACATCGCAATTAGACTACCAACCGTGGCTCTGATACCAATTGTTAAGACAAACAACTTAAGCCCAGTTCTCCATCAAGAGAAGGAAGTTATATATTGAGTAGCCCACCAATTTTATATATTGGAATTGGAACCTCTAATTATTCGATGTGGGATTGAGTTTGCACACCCTACATATCTCTTCTAACTCTGCTTCTACAGTTGGCGGTGATTTGGCAAGGAAGATATAAACAGTGGAGACTATCCTTATGAAAAAGTATGTAATGTTACCAAAGGTCATGTACTACTCGGCCAATCTAAAAAAATTGTGATAAAATTATAAAAATCAAAAGGCCTTTTTACATTTTTATTGTATTTTTTGAAAATTTTTATGATAATACGACATTAAAAATAAAAGTATAAACATTCATAAATGATTTATAAGGAAAAAATGTAAACATGATCCAAATAAAAATAAACTACAAATTAAGCATTCATAAGCAGTGAAAGTTAATATGTTTATAATTAGACGAAAAACATTGTATTTTGAAAGTAAACAGAGGTAAACATATTAATGTTTATTATTAAACGAAAAGAACTTTGTCTTTTGGAAGTAAATACTAAATAGAGGTAAACGATATAATTTTTCAAAAATCATCAGCCGTCGCTTAATATTGAAAAAATGGGCCAGCCCAATAAAACTGGTCTCCTCCAGAACAAAACAAACCTTGTAATGGGCCAAGCCCAACAGTCTCCCAATCCATGCGTTAACGCGTTTTGTTCAATCATTGGCTCACATTCGTAAAACCGTTGACTGTCGGCCTAAACGACCACGACTTTCTATTTATATCGCGATACGATGTTTCCAAACAACAATCACTACTGCCAGCTCAATGTACAATCGTGTGATAACAGAGTACAACTGTTTCATTGCGGTTCTGTATCTGGCACAAGCAAAAAACTGATTCTCCGTGTTTCTGTTAAACTTCCCGTCCGCCATTGACGACTTTCCACTTTTCCAGATATAAAAGCCATCACAAATGGCTACTGGACTCTGTGCGACTGTACAACACTCATGACAATGGGGAATTTTTCTCGTCAGATGAGGATTTCGTCGGCTCTGGCGAGGCGTTTGCGGTCGCGGCCGGGCACTGTCGCTGCCGCCGCGAATGCTGGCGGCGTCAGGTCTTTTACCACTACGGAGGGTCACCGCCCGACCATAGTTCACAAGCGCAGCTTGGATATTCTTCACGATCCATGGTTCAACAAGGTAAGGTTTGAAGATAGTGACTGATCTATTACCTTTTGCTCTGGCCTTTTGAGTTAATCGCCGTTTATCGAGATCTGATGATGCTGTGTTGGTTGGTGTGTTTGTTTGCTTGTTGTTTTGTGGAATTTGATGAAGCACCTTCACGATTGTTTTT